GCTACCCTCCAAGCGGAGAGAGAAAGTGCAGAATGGTTGGAAAAACTCAGACTGGAACCTGAAGAAGCCAGATGGTCGAAAGGAGTTGGGAGATTGCCAGACTGGGGGGAGACCCCCCGGGGGGTGACCAGCTCCAGACCCCGTAAGAAAGAGGCAGTATGGATGCAGGAACAAAAGGAACGTCTCATGATGGCACAAGCCTTGCAGCTTATCTGTGATGTGGAAGAGAGCAGGAGAAGCCGGGAGAGCAGTGAGTCTTTTGGGTTTCCTGTGGCGAAAGGAGGAGAAGACCCCAGAAGAGATAGCCTGTGGGGGAGAGGAAGAAGCTGAGGAAAGAACATCCCAGGCTTCTGCAGCTCAAGGGAGGGATGCAGCCGGCCCGGGACCCCCAGCCTTGCAGGGGCCCCCACAGACGTAAAAAGCCAAAAATTCCCCCCCTGCCTGGGAAATATGATGGAAATCCGAAAACCTTGGGGTTTTTCCTGACCCAAGTGTGGAACCACATGCAGGACTGGGGGGAAGACTACGTATCAGATGCTGCCCGAGTGAGATGTGTCACGAACTCCTTAGAGGGATTAGCAGCTGAATGGATGGTGGTTCTCCACAATAACAACTCTCCCTTACTGACAAATTACAACCAGTTCATGCGGGCTCTTAGAAGGCGGTTTGAAGACCACTTAGCTGAACGTAAGGCGAGACTCAGGATGAAGGGAATCCAGCAGGGCCGGAGACCTGTGGCAGAGTACATCCAAGAGTTTCGCGAGCTGGCACCCTATATGACAGGATGGTCAGAAATGGCTCTATTGGAGAGCTTCAAAGATGGGCTGAATGAAGAGATATATCGAGACTGCAGAAGTATGGGGGTCCCCGAAGACTTGCAGAGATGGTACATAGTAGCTGAGGATGTGGAGATCGAATTGACCCAAAGCAAACTCCGAGGAGGGCGTACGGGGGATCAGTCATTATCCTTCCACCGTAAGGGAGCACCCAAGATGACGAGTGGGAGAGCAGAATTCAAACCCAAATCAAAGCCCTTCACCTGTTTCAAATGTGGGAAGGAGGGACACCGAGCTGCCGAATGCTTCTCCAAACCAGTGCCAAAAGTTGCCGGCCCCAGGCCCAAGAAAGGCGACAAAATACCCGCTAAGACCCGCGGCACTGCCCTGAAAGGAGAAGTCGTTGAGTTCGCTCCCCGAAACCAGGGTGAGTTGGGAACTCCAACCAACGATGATGACAGCGAGACGGACTCCGACTCCGACACCGATGATCGGGTGAGTCACACGGAAGAACAACTACTAATCCCCGTAGAAGTAAGGGTGCCATCCACAGGGACCCATGCCCAAATGTTAGCCCTGTTGGACTCGGGGTGCACCAGATGCATAATTAGCCCCCAAGTGGTGGAGGAAATGGGACTAAGACTAAAAACGCTAAAAAGACCCATTGCGTTCTGTCAGTTAGACGGATCTATTGCAGGAGGGGGCCCAGCTAGTTTTATGACCGAACCCCTGGAATTGCAGTTGGGTGACCATGTAGAAAATCTCAGATATATTGTGGCCCCTGGCATGGAAAGACCCCTTATACTTGGACTGCTCTGGCTTCGAAAATGGAACCCACGGGTAAATTGGAAGACGGGGGTCTTGCGCATCCGCACGGCAAAACCGAACCCAGAGAAGGAAAATTTACCCTTGAAGGATGATATACAACCAGAAAGGGCGGAAGTAGCAATAGATTATATTGAAGGGCAGGAGAAGATTCCAAAAGAATATTGGGACCTCAGCGAAGTTTTTAGCGAAAGGGCCTCAGATGCGCTGCCTCCCCACTGGGCTACCGGCTGCACCATTGAAATACTTCCCGGGGCGAAGCTTCCCAAACCAAAAATCTACCCCATGACCCCTCGAGAATTAGGGGAATTGCGAAACTTTATTGACAAAAACCTAGAACGGGGATTCATCGAACGAGCCATACCCAAGGTGGCGGCGCCAGTGATGTTCCGCAAAAAGAAAGATGGCTCCTTCCGTTTGGTGGTCGACTATAGAAATATAAACGCTATTTGCGTGGAAAATGTTTACCCCCTCCCACTCATGAAGGACATGTTAGCCCATTTAGGGAAGGGAAAGGTCTTCACCAAACTTGATTTAAGAGAAGCGTACTACCAAGTGAGAATTAAAGAGGGGGATGAATGGAAAACAGCATTTAATTGCCCACTGGGATGTTTCCAGTTCAGAGTACTCCCTTTTGGGTTACAGGGAGCTCCTGCTGTATTCATGCAGTTGATCAACGAAGTATTGCATAAGCATCTGTATAAGGGGGTGCTAGTCTACTTGGATGACATTCTTATCTACTCTGAGAACATGGCTGACCATGTCAAATTGGTGCGAACTGTCCTGAAAAAACTCAGGGCTGCTGAACTATATGCCAAACTTTCTGAATGTGAATTCCACCAAGACAAGATCGACTATCTTGGATATCGCATATCGCATGAGGGGATAGAGATGGACCCTGAAAAGGTTCGGGCAGTATTGGAATGGGCCGCACCACGCACCCGCAAACAATTACAGAGTTTCCTGGGTTTTGCTAATTTTTATAGACAATTTATCCCCTCGTTTGCAAAAATTGCACTGCCAATTACAGACCTTCTAAAAACAAAAGGTGAAGTAAAACCCAGACCCTCGAAACCACTCGAATGGACTATGGACTGTCAAGCCGCCTTGACATTGATATATGACCACCAGAAAAATTATCTAGAATGCCCTGTATAAAAGTGATTCAAATCTATGATGGAAATGTGAATAAAAAGCAACGTCATTTTTACTATGCTTGTTGGACATGCAAAAAAGCTAGATTATTTTGGGTTCAGGTGCATACAGTATATAGTACTGTTTCAGAGCATTTTAAACATTGATATACAAGGGACTGATGGATAAACACTTGGAAAAAAGTCATGGAACTTTGTTTTTATATACAGAAACAGCAGTTGGGTTATTATAGGCACAAAGTTGGAAAAATTTGGCAATATCCAAATGGAGGAATATTTGGTGAAGATGAAAGAACTTGCTGATTAAAGAAAAGACAATATCATCTATGTTTATTGCTGTCTGGAAACCCTTTATGGGCTTCTTGCGTTAAACAGAAAAAAATAAACTTATGTTCTATGGTTTTCATGCTGTCTTCAAAAGAGTGGCCTTTTTCTTTTAAATGCAGATGGACTGCTGAATCTTGTCTTGATGGGTTTTTTTCTCCTGTGTTGTGCCATGCATTTATGAATTGGTTGTTTTGTTTCCCCAATGTACAGATCTGCACATGGCTCACTGCACTGTACTACATATAACCCATATAGAGTATATTACAGTAGTCCATTTGTAAGTTGACTAAGTCATAGTCATGAGTGACTTTCAGAAGGGCCTCCTACTGTAGGAAAGGGGATAATTAGTGCACTAGAGGGACCTGTGCAAAGGCTCATCTGGCCACAGCTGCCACTTGCTCTTCAAACAGGATCTGTGAGTCCTGGACACCCCCCAGATTGCCCACCATTTTTAAATGGGGTAGCACAACTCTATCCAAAAGCAAAGATGGACTGGCCAAATGTCATTTGGTGTTGTCAACATAGAGCCCATGTTTGTTTCCTCCCATCCAGACCCATATAACTTTCAGATACTAAATCAGGATGTTCACAATATCACCTGGACAGCCTAGGGTTAAAATGTATTTTGGGGTATTCTCTTTATATTGATGATAGAGGATTCCAAATGGACAGATGACCTCACTCTACAATTTCATGCAGATGGTAAACAAGAGGGAGGAGAATATTGAGCCCTAAGACATCCCATAGATCAGGAGTGTCAAACTGGCAGCCTGTGGGCCAGATGCATCACATACAGGCCACACCCACCCCAGCTCTGTGAAGGGAAGAAACATCATGATACATCACATGATGGCAACATGACACAGCGAGTTTGACACCCATGACATAGATGGACTGCAGACTTGACATCATCTTTCCTGTCAATGCCTACTGCAATTGGCCATAGAGGAATGAGAATCACTGTAAGATAATCAACCATTCCAGAAAGATATCATGGTTGGTGGTATTGAAAGCTGCTGAAAGATCAAGGAATACAAAAATGTATGCACTACTTTTATTGTCACAGCTTAACAAGTGCAGCCAATACTGTCTATGTATTGTACTTCAGTCTAAAGCCCAACTGAATGGGTCCAGATAGTTCATTTCCTTCAAGTGCTCTGTGGAACAAGAATATTACAGAAGTCAAGCAGAGTTTTTTTAATATCACAATCATTCTCCAAGATGGAACATTCCACATTCTCTAAATTTCAAATGTACTGACCAGCTCCCCAAAATTGGGAAATTGAGCCACTGTCTTAAGTCATGATGTGGACTGGTTGGTTTTAGCTTAGTTTTGTATGAAATCAGCAATTGTCAGAGGTGGGATTCTACTAGTTCGGACTGGTTCAGGCGAACCGGTAGCTCCAATGATCAGCTGGGAGCAAACCGGTTCATCCCGATGATCAGATGTGCCCACCCGCCTGCCTGTGTTATTTTCTTATCTTGATCTTCTCAACTGATCCACGCAGAGCAGATTGCCGCGCCTCAACTTCGCGCCTCCTCCGAAGAAACTCAGAAGTGAAGATTTCTTCAAACTGTGCACATGAAGCGCACAATCACCAAACCGGTTGTTAGACCAGGAGGATCCCACCACTGGCAATTGTGGTATGTTGGGTCAATCGGACCCAACATACCACATAAGCCATAAGTATGGTTTATGGAGTAAACCATAGTTAAACAGACCATGGCTTAGTGTAATATGTGAACCTGGCCATTCTACATCAAAGAGTAAACCAAATCAATCTGCATCATTATTCAGACTTTGACAAACTACCATATGGAAGATGCAATGAAGAGACTATAGTTTCTCGAAACTATCCAAAATCTTGTACTAGTAGCTAGAACTTATTTTTAAAGAGAAGAATGATTTAGACAAGTGTTTGTATTAAAACAGCTTTTATTGTGCAGATTGTAACCATGGCTATTGAACATGCAGAATAAAAAAAATGGCAGTTACATCTTATAAGCATATGTGAATATCTTGGATCAATAATGTTATTTGCTTTGGGATGCATTTTCTGAATATACTGTTCTAGGCAATATATTTCAAAGTTTTTTTTTAATTATATAAAACTAAAATATGTTTACATTCTCATAAAAAGTGTGTTGTTGCTGTATTACAATTTATATAGATATATATCTAAATAATATATCTTATTTATATACATTATAAAAATTATGCCAGACCAGTGTATGTTCTAAATGCAAAAGGAAAACATATAAAGTTATTTATATTTCAAAAACTGGTGTTCAGAACACAAAAAAAAGCACTTTTATAAAATGTCTACTTCTAGTGTTTAGAGTTACAGTACTGAAAGCTGAATGAAATTTTATAGAGATTTGCTCCCTAGTAAAACTGATATTTGTGGGTAATATTCTACAGCACTTGTAGCAATAGCACTCAGACTTATATACCACACCATAGTGCTTTACAGCACTCTCTGGGCAGTTTAAAATGTCAGCATATTAGCCCCAACAATCTGGGTCCTCATTTTATGACTTCGAAGTCAGATGGAAGGCTGAGTCAATCTTGAGCCCCATCAGGATCAAACTCTAGGCTGTGCAGAGAGTTTGCTTCCAATACTCATATTTTAACCACTGCACTACCAGGGCTCCTGCACTAATTTCTTGGCCAACAAGATTTTTCCAATTTTACATTTATTGAGCAAATTGTATATAACTACATTCTCATTACTTCAAGTGATTTCAAGCTCATTTCAATGGTCTGGATTACATATACAACCACATCCTTTTTCTCTGTCATAAAATGAATGCATTTTATATTAACCATTTTTGAGCAAAATATAAGAATAAATACTACTTCCATATTCCATACCAGCATTCCATAGCTTGATGTCCTCAACTCCTGGACTTCAGTTTCCATAATTCCTAACCAGCATTCTAGGGGATGGAATTCATGGGAAGTAGAGTTCAAAACATGTGGAGCGTACTAGTTTGAGAAAGATTATTCCACTCACGACAAAGTTTAGTTGGGAGATAAACTTTGTTAAGTGTAGATCACACACTAGAAAGAACTGACTAAAGCATTGGGAGAACAAACTTAAATGAAATCATAAGGGAGAATGGAGGTCAGTCTGCTGTGCTCACTATTTGTTTCCTTCACTAAATTACTGTTGTCAATAGCTCCTTGTAGTAAATTAATGTGATTTATGAAAAGGTAATCCAAAAGATGGGGCAGACTTTTGTCCCCTATGAAGCCAATAAATAAATGCAATAATTGGCACATTGCACTTTTCAAGCAATAAAATATTAGTCAAAATATAGTTGAATGTATATCTTATATTGTACAAATAAAGACATTCTGAAGTTCAGCTTCATATGCCCACATTTTTCTTGACAATAATGTGGTATATAATTGTTCTCTTCTGGATTTTTTTCAGCCTCTCAATTTAGTATTTTACTATACTATTAGCATAAGTGAAGGAGTCCCTATGGATTTTACTCTGCTAATCGTTGTCTATAGGGGGTGTTGTTCATCTCCGATTCAAGGCTATTGAGCCAGCGCTGTCTGAAGACATTTCCATGGTCATGTGGCCTGCATGACATCACGAAGTGATACCTATTTATCTACTTGCATTTGTGTGTGTGTGCGTGTGTGCGCACACGTGTACACACACATGCATTCATATACACAAACTATTAGTATAGGAGGGTAATAAAAGAAAAAATGATACTACACCTGTATCTACTGCAAACATTGCCTATTGTCAATAAAATGCTCATCCTTTATTCAAAATAATAAGCTGCTATGATCCTGTATCAATGCATGTGGACATGAAAGATAAGTCTAATCAACTAATTATCTAATGTAGTAGAAATGTAATTTAATGAAGGACACCAAGATTACTCTTAGTAAAACCTGTATTTGCAAAAAGCAAGACATTTACAGACCATCCAAGCAATTTTGGTATAATGTTAAGTTTCAATTACCATGAAGATGTCCCCTTCAGGACTGGTCCTGTCATATAGAAGGATGAAGTATTGAGTGGATATGAGTGGATTTTTATTTTTATTTTACAGGGGCAACTTTAGGTTGGTGTAGGAGAAGAGAAGTGCCATTTGAGCTCCAGTTCAGATAAGCAACATGTTTGGGATCAGCACTTGCCTGCCTCAGTTGATGGAGACCAATCTCTTAGTGAATAGGCTTAGGCTTACACTAAAAAAAAATAGACAGGTTGAAGCAATCAGATAATTAAAAAAACTAGCCAGGGCTAGTTAATTATGCTAGGGCTGTACCCAGAACCTATTCTAGATACTCAAGATCCAAGTAAGCCATCTTTGTAACTAGTTTCTAACAAAGCAGAACACACTTTGAAATTCTTCAGTTTATATCTAAGAAAGCTGATCTGGTTTAATAGCTATAAGGAAAGCAGCATATTCATGCAAAACCAATGAAGCTATTCTCTCACTTCATTGTCACTGTGGGGACAGTAAAGATTCTGTAACACAATATTAAATAACACTATAATTGCTTTATTTCTGTATCTTTCATACAGTTTTATGCACCTGGAAGACTCCTTGAATTATGTATAGCTCAGTTTAGAATGGGGTGGCTGGGTGGGGAAGGTGAACCATAACATAGTGCTGCCCAAACCACTTGTATGGATGACTGGGAAAAAGTTAGCAATGTGTAAACAGGACTAGCAGACTGGGGAACCTGCTTGGATTTAATAACTTTGTTTTAAAGATTCTTAAAGCTGTTCTCATAGAAAACAGCCAAATCACTCTTAAAACCCAGTTTATAGTTGGCATGATTCAACACAATTTGTACATACCTTGCTGTCTACTTTTAAGAGAACAATTAGTCCCTTTGTAGTAAGTTTTATTTAAATTAATTAGAACATCTGTTCTTAGGAATGAAGCTAAAAAAATTAAATACAATAGTGTTATTTTAATCTAGGGATAAATTAACTTTCAATATGTGCACGCCATAAGGATTTTCTTGATGGAAGCATTTTCAGAAAATAAATCCAACTATATTCCTACCTTGACTTTTGCTTTATATATTGAAATTTTTAGAAGTATTTGTTCAGAGATAAAATTGTGTTGTATTTCTAAAAAGCTGTTTGTTCAGATCCTGCCATTTCTAGTTAAGAAGATTTCAGTGAAAAGGGTCCATTCTTTGCATGAAGCTTTGCATGCAAGTGTCATCAGGGTTTCATAAATTATTTGGTTAAAGAAAAACACTAAGGTCACCCCTTACATTTTCTCTTAGTGACATATATTATATATTTATAATCCAAATACTCTGTCATGGGGATTACAAAATAAGACAGAAGCAATACTATTAGCTTTTTGTCAACATGCCCAGTTATTTGAATTGAAAGCTTTGTCTTTTTAAAGACACTTGATCTCCTTTTCTCAGCACATATGTTACAGTAGTCATTTCTTTAAATCTGTGTGTAGATATGGTCACTACAGTAAAGCGCTACAGTCATCTGACAATACATCTATAAAAGGAACATTCTGTTGACATCTGCCAGCTTGTTGCCATGTGCATTATGCTGCAGTAGCTTTTATACTTCTTTTACTCACAGTAAAATGCAGAGCAATATGATAGTGCTGGAAAGCGTATTTGCAATTCTGCATTATAATCAATGTGAGTTTAATTTGCAACAAATGAATGGAAGGGGTATGCAGAACAGAAGTCAATTCATCAAAGGTCAGCAAAACAGCAAGCAGGTGAAATGGACGAGCAGCTATTTAATTTGTTTGTGTTTGTTTAATGCAAATTGACTTTCCTCCTGAAAAGAATAAATAGCATAAACCCAGGAGGGATTAAATAGCAAAGAAAGTTAAAAAGGAATTATTTGCTGCATTCAAGTTGGTTGTTGTTGTTGTTGTTGTTTTTTGAGTGATGCTGCATAAAGTGCCAGTCACTTTATTAATTTATGGCAGCCTTGAGACTGGCACCAAACTATGAAGGAAGGGGAAAAAAACCTCATTCTTCAACTCCTTGAAGTGTCATTTATGCTTCCTTTCGTACTGTTGCTCTGATAGAGCTCAGCATTTTGCCAACAGCCTCATAGAATGGATCACAGAAAGTATGGATAAAGATAGAATAAACTCGGCCAATGCACTGGATCTCAATTAGGTAGCTTCTGATACAAGGCACCACGGCCCAGATGTGGAAGAATGACAAAATGGCAAAAAAAATGCCCCAGATAAGAGCCATGGGAATGCCAAAGATTGCAGACAATAAGCGATAAAACCAGTATTTCGTCACAGTGAAGGTGGTGAAACTGGCCTTCCAGATCCCATCGAAACTGTGGGTTCCTGCAGGTTCGGCAATCACATCTTCAAAGTCAATCTATACACAAAAGATGACATAAATTAGAATGAAACTCATAATAGATGCTCCAACACATGCACTTTTAAGTCACAATCAGTGGTATCCACAAGTGGAGGCCAAAAACATCAAGGTGGCAGCTCCCAGCATGAGGTTGAAGTCCCATTCCTTTTTTATGAATGTTGCATAGTACGGACATTTTTCAGCTCTGCTGAGGTTGCCCCTGGCCACAAGCTAAATAAATGGACAACATGCTACATATGAAAAAGTAACCAACATTCCATATTCCTTTTCAAATCTTTTGTCTTCCACACCAGAATTTTTACCTACATCCTAAAAGCTATTTACATTTACATCTTCTGCAGCATGCAGAGCAAAATAGCAATCATGAGTTATTCACACTTTTTACACTTGAAATGCTAAAGGAATGGAACTATAGTAGAAAGATCAAACCAGTAAGTTCAATTATGCTTTTCAGCAAAATTTCTATGCACTACATCAGCAATGAATAAGAGGATGAATAGAGTGCCACACATCTTAGATTTCTGCATTGACAACTCTAGGGAGAAAAAAAGATCCTCCACTGAAACCTTAACAAATTCAAGCGAGCAAGTGCATTCTGCACATTTTGAACTTTTAAAATAGTTCTGAATAGGAAGACTTGCTGAATTTATAAAGGGATCTTGAATCTCAATACCAGCAGGAGCCAAGAACATGCTTAGAGTACAATTCTGTGAGCTCAGCAGGCCAACCAAAAAAATATAGGTAGTCCTCAACTTCAACAGTAACAAAGCTGGCTAATTACACTCATAGGTCATGACAGCCATAAAATTGGTCATCACATAACTGACCCAATTTTACAATATTTTTTTTCAGCAGGTGTAAAGCAAATACAGGTAGTCCTTGACTTACAACAGTTCATTTAATAACTGTTCAAAGTTACAACGGCACTGAAAAAAGTGACTTATGACAGTTTTTCATGATCAAAATTCAGATGCCTGGCAACTGCTTCATATTTATGATGGTTCCAGTGTCCTGGGATCATGTGATCAGCTTTTGAAACCTTCTGACAAGCCAAATCAATGAGGAAGCCAGATTCACTTAGCAACCATATTACTAACTTAACAGAGTTAATCATCAGAGACTTTTTTTTCTTTTAAAAGCATTTTTTCTACAACCTCTTCGGCTGATGCTTTTAAAAGCTTCTGCCAATCAGGCAACTCAGCTGGGATTGTCAGAGGCTTTTAAAAGCATTTTTTCTACAACCTCTTCGGTGGAAAAAATGCTTTTTAAAATTTTTTAAAAAAAGCCTCTGATGATTGCACGACTCAGCTGGGCAATGGGGGGGGGCAGGGAGTTTTGCTACCGGTTCTCTGAATCACCCACCGCCGTCGCTACCAGATCAGGCTACCAGATCAGGCGAACTGGGAACATTTTACCCCTGGGCAAACTCACTTAACAAATGTTTCACTTAGCAATATAATTTTTGGGCTCAACTGTGGTTATAACGTCAGGGCTATCTGTACTTAATTATTAAGTGAATTGTTCACTATGGGATGTTTTTGCTGAAAACTGGAAGTAAATGCTGATTTTTGGCAAAAACATTGCAAACTGTGGTCATGTGACTGCGGGATGCTGCAAAACAATGTAAAAACAGGCTGATTGCTGAGTCCCCAAAATGAGGTCATCTGACCATGGTGTTGGTGGTGGATGGCTGTCATAACGTCTGCCAAGCCAGTAAAGATGGCAGAGCAGGATTCTTCTACTAATTGTTAGAATAGAATAGAATAGAATAGAATAGAATAGAATAGAATAGAATATGGAAGGGACCTTGGAGGTCTTCTAGTCTAACCCCCTGCTTAGACAGGATACCCTACAGTATTTCAGACAAATAGTTATCCAATTTCTTCTTAAAAACTTCCAGCGTTGGAGCATTTACAACTTCTGCAGGCAAGTTGTTCCACTGATTAATTGTTCTGTCAGGAAATTTCTCCTTAGTTCTAAGTTGCTTCTCTCCTTGATTAGTTTCCATCCATTGCTACCCTCAGGTGCTTTGGAGAATAGCTTGACTCCCTCTTCTTTGTGGCAGTCCCTGAGAGATTGGAACAATTCTATCATGTCACCTCTAGTCCTTCTTTTCATAAGACTAGACATACCCAGTTCCAGCAACCGTTTTAAACTCTAGTCCCCTAATCATCTTTGTTGCTCTTCTCTGCAATCTTTCTAGAGTCTTTTTACATTGTGGTGACCAAAACTGGATGCAGTATTCCAAGTGTGGCCTTACCAAGGCATTATAAAGTGGTATTAACACTTCATGTAATATTGATTCTATTCCTCTGTTTATGCATCCTAGAACTGTGTTGGCTTTTTTGGCACACTGCTGGTTAACCTGGTTAAGGTACAATTTTGAACACATTTCCCAAGAATTCCTTTAATGAATTCTCTTGGTATGAGAAACCATAAATGCCAACTGAATACAGACAATTCTTTTCCTGAATCTGTATGGATACTGTGAATATCTAAGAAAAAGTAAGACTTCTTTATGGAGCTGCTGGCAGGTCCAAGACAATTCTGAAGCACTTTACTACTTCATATCTGAATACTGCACAACTTCAGTGAAGCAGCTCAAGACTTTCCTTGTCACAGAGTATACCCATGCCTCTAGTGATACATAGGAAACCGGTAGAACCCTAACCTTATCCACTTGTTATACACACAGCCATACAGAGGCCGCCTTCTAATTTCTTAGGCTGACAACCACCCATTTTACACCACCTCTTTCTTATCTGCATTCAGTTTTAATTTCTGGACCCTAATCAAGTCGAGGCACCTGTCAAGAAGCTACAGGTGGAAAGAAAGACAGAAGAGCTAAGGTCCATCAGTGTGCTAATAACTTGGAATTCCAAATTTCTAGATGATCCTTTTAGAAACTCTGTTACTATTTTAGCATTATATGTGGAAATAATGTCACACATAAACATAATCTAAATAATTTGTGTGATTCATGCTATTATGGAAGTATTAATATATTTCTGTATGCAATGCCGGATCTTGATTTGAAAGGTTAACATGTAATTTGACTATTAAGAAGAAATATCAGGGTTTTTTTTAATTTTGGGAGTTTGAATGTTGGTATCCCATGAAAAGGAAAAATATTATCCAAGGAAGTTCTTATTTATTCAAATAAAATGCCAAAATATCCCAGGAGGTTTGTCATAACATTTCAAAATAGAAAATTAACAGAAACAACTTGAGACAAAAGATCTCCTCTATGTATCACATGACCATGTCTTTGATATAATCCACAGCACAGGATATTTATTGCAGCTAAAATAACCAAATAATAGAGGTATGTCAAGTCCACAGGAAAAACATAATACAGTATCTTGAATTTAATGAGCTATACACTAAACGCGCACAATAGTCCTTCTGAGAAACTCTTCAGTCAAAGTTTCTCAGATTCCTGAGAAGGAGCTACAGATCGCTAGGGAACCTACTGCAATTAAATAAGACAATAGAGTAGTAGCTGTTTGAGAACATGACAATTTTCATAATCTGTTATGCTTGATTAAGCATCTGGAATTTACCAGATTGTTTTATTGTTCTTTACAAGTGGTATGATATGTTAGATTTGTCTGAAACATTCTACATCAGTGGTCCAGTTTGGAAACTGGTGGCAACAGTAGAGGGAGGGGATGGTTTCACACACACACACACTGCTTGTGCAAATGGAGCTTTGTGTTGTGCTCATCCACCACTTGTGTGGCTTGGTTCCCAATGGGCTGCGGACCGATACAGGGCCATGGACCGGGGATTGGGCTCCCGTATTCTATATTGCTTCATAGCAGATCTTCCACATCCCCAGAAAGCATTTTTAATATGTTCAACAGTAAAACTGATTCAGGGAAAGAACAGATATCAGATACACTGGCACTAGAATTATATGATATTTTCTAAAATCTTGTGTATCCACTGATGATATTTTAGTTTTCTTCAGGAAGATAGGGAGATTCGAGGTGGATCCTGACATGCATTATTATAGTATTGATAGTTCTTTTTCAATATTCAAATAAGCTTCAGTTAAATCTGTCAATATATGAATGTGTGTTAAACTATGAGGTTAAGTTTCTTTTCAGTAATTAGAAAGCAGAAGCTGACAAGTAGTTTCATATAAGGATATCTTTCAGTTTTACACTATATAAGGCCTAGCAGTATCATGTCGCAAACAGAATGCCTTGTTCTGCACACCACATGAATCAGAGAATGTCTCTGCCTATAGATAATGCTTGTCAGGCCACCAATCTATAACTGTGACTGTTGAAGATAAGATTTTGTGTAGCAAATGTTTTCAGGAAGCCTCTCTTTGGAATTATGTATTTCATAAAGAATTACCCCAAATGACCTGAAGAACTGGAAGGAAGCAGTATTTCTGGAATTATTTACTGCACCTGCTTTATCACTTTTCTTTAAACAATCAATCCACATATTGCCTGATACTTAGATATTTCTACCATCTATTTCATAATAACCTGCTTTGCTAGCATAATAGGAAGCATGCTGTTACAGTAGGTAATTTTTTCTCAGAGAAATATTTTTATAGAAGGCAGATTAATCAATAGCAAATTACAATATTATATATATTTGTAAAATTATTTTATAACATTATAAAATTATAGTATAATATATAACATAACATAACATTATACGAGAAGAGGAGAGGAGAGGAGAGGAGAGGAGAGAAGAGGAGAGAAGAGGAGAGAAGAGAAGAGGGTAAAATCTACATATGTATGTATTTTTATGGATAATATCTATGTGGTTGCTAAGAATCAACACCAACATGAAGGCATCAATGAATTATCATAATGTTGTGGTAGAGGGAAGTGGCCTCTCCTTTCTTCTGTCAACTACAGTGATGGCGAACCTTTTCAGCACAGAGGGCCCAAACTGGAATGCATGCATGCTCGCCGGAGCACCAGAAACCCAAAGACCAGCTAGCTGGAGCACATGTGTGTGCCGGCCAG